TCGACATTAATGGGTACAACAAGGACAGTGAGCGAGCACTATAAAACCAGCTTAAGTCTGGGCTAGTACAAGCATCCTAACATACACACGCATGCACGTCGCCATATAAGCGAAATATTAGGAAGAACGACGTTATACCCCATGTCACCTCACCTGACATGCAAAGATGGTGTAAAACTAAGTTTTCTCATACAAAGGAAAGTGATATTTTCCTGCAATGACATATCATGCCACTTCAATGAATTCAGTTGTGTAATTTATCGCAGTAGAATGAAGCCTAAAACAATCGTGTGACCTTACTGATAACTGATATGACGCCATATGAAGATACCAATATCACAATATTGAGTAAATGACGCTATTTTAATGACGAGAGGTTTCAGTAAAACCTCATATCTTTTTATCTCTTGACATGTAAAAAACAGTTCATATTTTCCACATATACTTTTCCACGTACCTCAGTGAGACATACATAATATTTGACTAGAAAGACGAAATATTCTGTGGATACTTTAGTGTTGCTAATTTATCCAGTATGGTTACTTCATCCAGTTATAGAAATCGAAAAACTTTGCACCTGTTCATTTTGTCTTAGGTTCGTCTTTTCATTTCTTTGTTGAAAGACACAATTGTTTGTTTTGAACACTTAATCTATCATATGACCAACATACTGACAAAGCTGACTCAATGACACATCCAGAAAGAAATGAATGCTAACTTACCTTTTCTGTCCGTAATTTCTCGAGTACTCGCTGAGGCACATCGCGAGACCGAAGGTATTCAACAATATCGTCAACACTCATAGTAAAGAACCTGTTCAAACACAAAGTACATCATGAAAGAATGGGCAAATGGACTATGCTGCACTAGCTATTTATCATCTCCTACGTAGGAGATACTAAGTCCTACGTAGGAGATAGTAAGTCCTACGTAGGAGATACTAAGTCCTACGTAGGAGATACTAAGTCCTACGTAGGAGATACTATGTCCTACGTAGGAGATAGTAAATCCTACGTAGGAGATACTAAGTCCTACGTAGGAGATAGTAAGTCCTACGTAGGAGATACTAAGTCCTACGTAGGAGATACTAAGTCCTACGTAGGAGATACTAAGTCCTACGTAGGAGATATTAAGTCCTATGTAGGAGATACTAAGTCCTACGTAGGAGATACTAAGTCCTACGTAGGAGATACTAAGTCCTACGTAGGAGATAGTAAGTCCTACGTAGGAGATACTAAGTCCTACGTAGGAGATACTATGTCCTACGTAGGAGATAGTAAGTCCTACGTAGGAGATACTAAGTCCTACGTAGGAGATACTATGTCCTACGTAGGGAGATACTATGTCCTACGTAGGAGATACTAAGTCCTACATAGTGGGAGATAGTAAAGTCCTACGTAGGAGATACTAAGTCCTACGTAGGAGATACTAAGTCCTACGTAGGAGATACTACGTAGGAGATACTAAGTCCTACGTAGGAGATATTAGAGTCCTATGTAGGAGATAATAAGTCCCACGTAGGAGATACTAAGTCCTACGTAGGAGATACTAAAGTCCCTACGTAGGAGATAAGTAAGTCCTACGTAGGAGATACTAAGATCCTACGTAGGAGATACTATGTCCCACGTAGGAGATACTAAGGAGTCCTACGTAGGAGATACTATGTCCTACGTAGGAGATACTATGTCCCACGTAGGAGATACTAAAGTCCTACGTAGGAGATACTAAGTCCTACGTGGGATTTAGATCTCCTACGTAGGAGACGTAGGAGATACTAAGTCCTACGTAGGAGATACTAGAGTCCTACGTAGGAGATACTATGTCCTACGTATGAGAGATGCTATGTCCTACGTGGGAGATACTAAGTCCTAAGTAGGAGATACTAAGTCCTACGTAGGAGATACTAAGTCCTACGTAGGAGATACCAAGTCCTACGTAGGAGATACCAAGTCCTACGTAGGAGATACTAAGTCCTACGTAGGAGATACTAAGTCCTACGTAGGAGATACTAAGTCCTACGTAGGAGATACGAAGTCCTACGTAGGAGATACTAAGTCCTACGTAGGAGATAGTAAGTCCTACGTAGGAGATAGTAGGAGATACTACGTAGGAGATACTATGTCCTACGTAGGAGATAGTAAGTCCTACGTAGGAGATACTAAGTCCTACGTAGGAGATAGTAAGTCCTACGTAGGAGATACTAAGTCCTACGTAGGAGATACTAAGTCCTACGTAGGAGATACTAAGTCCTACGTAGGAGATACTAAGTCCTACGTAGGAGATATTAAGTCCTACGTAGGAGATAGTAAGACCAAAAAAATTTTTCACCGTGGCCCTACTACGCTTCCGTACAAACCTTTAACAACACCTCTAATGATATTTTTTTTATAAAAGGTGAATTAGAGTCTGTACTTTACTGACAAAGGGTAATCACAAATATAACAGATACACATATGATGTGATCTGGACCATCAGCTCTGATACACAATATCATGTGATCTGGACCATCAGCTCTGATACACAATATCATGTGATCTGGACCATCAGCTCTGATACACATATGATGTGATCTGGACCATCAGCTCTGATACACATATGATGTGATCTGGACCATCAGCTCTGATACACATATGATGTGATCTGGACCATCAGCTCTGATACCCATATGATGTGATCTGGACCATCAGCTCTGATACACATATGATGTGATCTGCAGCTGATACACATATGTTGTGATCTGGACCATCAGCTCTGATACCCATATGATGTGATCTGGACCATCAGCTCTGATACACATTTTTGTGGAAGTTGTGTTGGCAAAGTGAGTTAAATCGCTGACTTTGTGCGCTGGCTATTAGGTGGATCACTCTCAACTCAACTCAAAATGTACCAGAATCTGTAAGTGTAATCTCAGATATAACATATATTAGAACATAAACTGTCGGAAATTACGAAATATATACACCAAATCCAGTTCCAATTTCCAAATCAGAGATCAAAGGGCATTGGCACAAAGTATATCTAAAACATTCGTTTATTGGCTCATAAATACTACTGTCAGATTATGAATCTGCTCGTTCCAAACATGAATGCATTCGTAATTCCATTACAGTTTTACAATCTTCTTGCCAAAGATTTTAGTTCAAAAGAATATATGACCAGTATCAAGTTAAGAGAAACGAAATATAAAATTCATATTAGTAATTTAAAGGTCATTTGTGCTTTAAACCATATCTTACTGTGCTGTAATCCAGTATGTCACTATCGAAATTCGACCGCCTCCGTGGTGTAGTGGTTAGAGCGTCCGCCCGGAGAGCGGAAGGTCGCAGGTTCGATCCCTGACTGCGTCATACCAAAAGACGTTAAAATATGGTACTTGTTGGTTCCTGCATGGCGCTCGGCATTAATGGGTACAGCAAGGACTGGTCGGCTCGGAGTCAGTATAATGTGTCTGAGTTGGGTATTCATGCTTCACTGTGGCATGGTATTTCAGTGGGCTAGCACTCTAAAACCAGCTTAAGTCTGGGCTAGTACAAGCAGCCGCACATACACATACACACGCATGCACGTCGTCATATGAGCGAAATATTCTCAAGCAGGACGTTAAACCCAATTTCAATTTTGTATGAACTAGGTGTAATCAGACAACACTGCCTGTCATATAATGCCGTGATTCCATTTAGTTATTGTACTGTTTATGTGTATGTTATTCTTAGACTGTCAATATTATTATGTTTTTCTGATATCCAACCTCACCAGCAAGAGAGCGGACGGGAGAAATAAATCAATATGACATCCTTTCTTTGACATACAGCCGTCTAATGGCAGGCTATCAGTTGTGATGAGTCAGGCAACCACAATAAAAAACACTCGTTTAATTCAAATGTGTGAGCATTAGTGTTGGGAATTGGTTAAAATCTCATAATTGATGATTGGTTCATTACCACCGATCAACCATCGAAAATAATTGGTTAGCGTCATTTATGAAATTTGTTAATGCACAAAAAATAACGAAAAAAACATGTAGTTATTTTAGTTTTTTTTTGCAAAATTCCATATCTTTAAAGGATGACTAGTATGTTAGGAACATACATTTTAAGATACATCTTTAAGATAAATTCAACCCTGACTTGGAACGCTTGTAGTGCTTATGAAATGTAACAGACAAAACCAACCTTGTGAAACATATTGCTGATGAAAACAAGTGTTCCTGAATTGTTTGTGTTCGATTATGAGAAAACATGATCGATTGCTTGGTCGTTTAGCCACTGCGACCAATCTTCGATTATTTCAATTAATCGGATCACCACTAGTGAGCATCAGGTGCTACCAATAGTGCAACGCATGCTAACCCAAAGAGCAGCTATTATCACAGATTTTCAGTGATCCATTCATTTACATTTAAATACTGCTTCTCCCTTTACTCACATTGGAGTGAGTGAGTTTCGTTTTACTCCGCTTTAACAATATTCCAGCAATATCACGGCGGGGGACACCAGAAATGGGCTTCACACATTGTACCAAAGTATGGAGTTGACCCCCGAGACTTTAACACTTTGACCACTAGGCTACCCCATCGCCTCTACTCAAATTGACCCGTGAAGATCCAGGTTAGAATTGGTCTTTAGTAACCAATGTTTGTCGTAAAAGGGACTGGGTGGTCAGGCTCGCTGACATGGTTGCACATGTTATTGTATCCCAATTGCGTAGATCGATGTCCATGCTGTTGATCACTGGATTGTCTGGTCCGGCCTCGATTATTTACAGACCGCCGCCATATAGCTGGAATATTGCTGAGTGCGGCGTAAAACTAAATTCACTCACTGTAAACATGTACCTTTCACCGCAGAACGCGTCCGGAGTGTAAATAAACTTCAGTTCCGTATTTATAAGCGTGTTGGTATTAAGTGGATAGAGATGGACATCTTCGTCAGATAATCGAGACTGATTATACTCCAGCGTTGAAGTTATATATTCAGGATAAATGGGACAACAAGAAATGACAACGGACACATGTTTTATTCAGGCATGATCACAGACACACTTCTTCTGGTTGAGTGTGGTCCCTGCTGGACAGTACCGGGTCCTCCACTGGCCATGGATCCAGTGTTTATACCTCCGGCCGCTGTAGGGTCTCATGTCACACCCTGCAATCAAACAGTTTCCTTGTACAACTCATAGTTACCTTCCCTACATTTGACCCGGAAGTGGAGTAGAGGATAGGGCCCTTTCTGAATATGTTCTCCTGCCTGTGGTAGTTTTTATTTTTAACACATTGGATGAAAGTTTAAAATTAGACGCTGCTTTAGTAGATTTTTAACAATTTGACATGATATCAATAGTTTTCCATGAAATAGCGACAAGGTGAAGGACGATGTGTGTGTCCCAGTTTCATGCTGTCAGTGACTATTGTTAATTTTTGTAGTTGCTGTCACGGTTGTTTAACGCCGCACTGGGCAATATTCCAGCTATATAGCGGCGATCTGTAAACAATCGGGTCTGGACCGGACAATCCAGTGATCAACAGCGTGAGCACGAGGGATGACATGTGTCAACCAGTTCATCGAAGCTCACCACCCGATCCTCCCAATGGCCCTCTACTATGGTGATCTACCTTCAGTCGTTGGCAATCTATAGCCTGTTGTATTGTCATTTATAGTCAATACATTTTAGATTTAATTACTAGTTTTACATTTATTTCTGTGATAATCTAGTTATTTTACTGTCCTTTGCAGACAAGTAAGTATATTAGCTAATTTGTTTTATTCATTTATATACATGCATTTACAACTTTCTTAGTCACGATATGGCCGAAATACTGCCGTTGTGACTTTAAATTTTCACTCACTCACTCACTCACTCACTCACTCACTCACTCACTCACTCACTCACTCACTCACTCACTCACTCACTCACTCACTCACTCACTCACTCACTCACTCACTCACTCACTCACTCACTCACTCACTCACTCACTCACTCACTGGGTTGCTGAAGGCCAATTCTAACCCGGATCTTCACGTGTGGTAACTAAAGTAACTGTGAAATATAAGTTTCTGGTATTTAATCGTCATATGCTTTAAGGTATAGCATTACTGAGAACTATACTGCTACAATAGTAAGAAGGATCATAATGGAAACAAGCTTATCAACACAGAAAACGAGTTGCATCTATAACTGTGTGGTTGACACAACACTACTGAGCTCTTTCAAAACAACTGATTTGTTGTGGCCTTGTGGGGGAATGAATGGGTATTGTGTAACGTTACTTCGGACAGTACTTTCAAACCACATGCAAACTGTAGTGCAAATAGGGATGCGCAACAGAAAAGAAATGACCAGTCTTTCTAAATGCGATCGAAGCGAGCAAAGGTTGGCAACGTACTTCCCTCGCTTCGGTTCGAAAAATATTTTTAATGGCAAAATAAAATATCGCCACGATCAACGGTTGACACCCATTTCCTCAAAGGGTTGTGCTCTCACATTTCAAACCTCATATTAACTAATTACTCACGTGAAATATATTTAATTCAACATTTTAAGCGCCACTCGAGGCATGTCAAATTGTTCTTCGCCTCCATTACCCCTGCCAGCTTCCGGTTCAACGGAGTGAAGGAACAAGAATAAGCAGAAATTAAAAAGAAATATCATGTTGCCTAATTTTACCATTAAGCTGTTGGAGATGCTTTTCTTATCTGTCGTCGTTATTGTTAGAATTTTCGTTGCATTGGTTCTAAAAACAACACTTCTGACGTAGCGAGTAAATAAAAGCAAGGGAGGTAACTCCGGAAGTATTTCCGGGTCCCCAACTCATAAGTGTCTAATACAGGTCTGAAACTCTGCAGGGGCGATGGGGTAGCCTAGTGGTTAAAACGTTCGCTCGTCATGCCGAAGACCCGGGTGAAATGGGTACAAAGTGTGAAGCCCATTTCTGGTGTCCCCCGCCGTGAAATTGCTGGAATATTGCTAAAGGCGGCCTTAAACAAAACTCATTTCCATGAAATTCCATCTCCTCCATCGGTGGCCTCGTGAGGCCTAGCTAGAGTACTAACCGTTTGTCAGGCTTACGCATGCGCAATGCCCTTCGCTGAAGATTGTCCCTGATGGACAAGGCATTACCCTTGTCCCGGTTATGTCTCTAGATATGTAGTGTACCAAAGACCGCTTCAGCATGTAGAGATTGCATTTGACTTTCTTGTTCTCTGAAAATGGAATATATATTAAACGCGACAAGAACGTTTCCATATCAGTATGTAATCTCTGCTGAATAGAGAGAGTCCATCATATAATTCCGATTAAATAATGAGGATATCTCCATATAACTCCATGCTGAACTACCCATCTCTATCGTTAAGAAAGTTCACCGGATTTAACCACCGATGGGGAGTTATTATTATTATTATTATTATTATTATAGGATATTTATATAGCGCACATATCCTTGCAACCATTGCTTGCTCAAGGCGCTGGTATTTTTTTCCCTCGATCATTGGATGTCAATCTCAACGTCACATCGTATTATCAATCTCAACTCCCTGGGGGAGTATACAACTCTTGCAGCCACTAGGCGCACACAGTTATTGTGGCTTTCTCATCCTAACGAGGTACCCATTCACAGCTGGGTGGACTGGGACACATAGTCACAGTACTTTGTCCAAGTTCACTGCACGTTGCTGTACCCGCAACTAGGTGTTTGCACGTATTCATGTGGCCACCATCTGGTCATATACCAACGGATTCGTGGGTTCTTTTAAGTGCACAGGGTTGTGTACTGTACACTAGGGGTTGTGACAACAAGGAAAGAGTCTGCACACAAAGTTGACTCCAAGGTTTTTACACCCGGTCACAGGTGGACTCGATGCCGACACCTTCAACCTCGCTAGATCACTAGCCTGGCACTTTAGCCAGCTCGCCCACCACGCCCCCTATACAACAACGTGTAATCTGAACACCTGGATTGATGTCTTTCCATGTCGTTCTTCACAATGGTTTATCTACATAGTTGACTCCAAGGTTTTTTACACCCGGTCACAGGTGGACTCGATGCCGACACCTTCAACCTCACTAGATCACTAGCCTGGCACTTAAGCCAGCTCGCCCACCACGCCCCCTATACAACAACGTGTAATCTGAACACCTGGATTGATGTCTTTCCATGTCGTTCTTCACAATGGTTTATCTACATGCACAGATACTCACGGGCAACAGCACTTGAACATATGACCGCCAGGCACAGAAATCCCACCAGAAACCTCATGGCTGATTCTGCAACGCCGACGCACACACCACAAATTACTCAGACAGAGAAACAGATAGGTAGATACATACTCACACATGGCAACTTCTTGACTATATTATATCGGTGTTGAATTTTATACGGTTGTCAAGCAAGGGTGAAGTACTACAGCACGGAAGAAAGGACACAGAAGGGTGTTGTCAGATCGCGATATAAATGTGGAACAGCTCGTAACCTTTCGAGGCTAATACGACTCAGTGAGGTTTGTGCCGCTTTTAGCAATGTTCCAGCAATATCACAGGGGGACACTAGAAATTGGCTTCACACATAGGTCCATGTGGGGAATCGAACCCAGGTTTTCAGCGTGACAAGCGGACGCTTTAACCCCAACAGTACCATAAGTTTCTAAATAATGTCCACAGTTCTTGTGTACGAGCACTTTCATTCTTCCCTGCTTAATGAGTGTTCATAAAAGTACAACCGTGTCGTGAAAATACACTTCAGGGCATAAAACAGAAACACCTGAAAGCTTAATTTGCTCAAATAATACAAACACTATGACAACGCTAGTAGGCTGGAAAATCTAGGACGTGTGCCAGAAATATTATGTCTAAAACACAATGTTGGGCCCGAACAAATAATCGTCATCGTGCCTTGTTTGTTTCAGTTTTAACCACAATGAAATGTGAGTGATTCTTTCTTTTGTCCGGCAGTGTAGGCGTTTAGCATAGGATTAAAAACAATCACTTTACGATTGTTAGATGACATTTGCAACCACTGTCATACAATCTACCTACAAATCTTTATCGGAGACTATCTACATATAAAAAAGCGACAATAACGTTTCCTTCGGATTAAAGGATAATGCAATGAAAAACCTTATTGTTATAAAAGAATATAATGTAATTGAAACTTTGGGTTTTATAAACAGCATTTAGAAAATACAGCAATAGAGCAAAATAAAACGCAAGAGAACTATAAGTTACGAATGTCTGCCTTGCAGATTCCACCGGATGTAAAAAACAAAATGGCGGTGACAATCATATGAATGAGTAACTGAAAGCACAGCAGATAACTTTGCGAAACGCAACGACATGCCCTGCTAAGAGAGATTCATACTTAGCCACACATAAAGTTCAAAATGTACATAAAAAGAACCTTGTAAATTCCTTAACCAAAACAGTATCGCTGAAGGTATCGACTTTGAAGTATTCACATTCACAACAGAACAAAGAACTGAAAAGGCATCCCATATATGAATTGACACAATCGTCCTTGTTAATCAATTCATGATTCTGTCCTATAATATTTCTTTCTACAACAAATACCAATATTGACACAGTGGACATATATCGTTAGTAATAATTGACAAAACATAAACGTAATCTATCCCATCTGAAGAAAAAAAGAAACAATAGCAATTAACCTACCTTCCGATACACAAGGTATTTTATGAACAAAGGATATAGCATCTTCCTTTAAAGAATAGGTACCAGTTGAAACTATCTAAGGTGTCACATATCCATTAAAGTGTCAGAAACAATGTTCCTGCTACTGACATCGTGTTGAAAGATGTAGGCGATTAACATAGAATGGGGTTGGACCCCCTGAAAAGATAAAAACAGCGTCAGTACTTGCGTGGAATGTCTTGAATTCGTGTTTGAAAATCGTGTGTTGACTCGAATAAAAGATTTCACATTTGATGACAATGCTGAACCATATACGAGGGACAGGCGAAAAATTAATGGAACTCACAGCCCAAAGTTACAAGACATTTTATTATAATGGTTTGGCACGCTTGAATTGATGAATTAGATTCAAAAGTTTAAGCTTCGTGCCGGGCGATGTGGTAGCCTAGTGGTTAAAGCGTTCGCTCGTCACGCCGAAGACGGGGTTCGATTCCCCATATGGATACAATGTGTGAAGCTCATTTCTGGTGTCCCCGGCGAGATATTGCTGGAATATTGCTAAAAACGGCGTAAAACCATACTCACTCACTCAAGCATTTTGCATCTTGTGGAAGTTCAACATCGGTGGGTTTGGTTGGTTGGATTGTTGTTTAACGCCGCATTCAGTTAAATTCAGCGGCGGTCTGGAAATAATCGAGTTTGGATCAGACAGTTATCGACAGTATTCTGTGGTATTGAGAAGCGATGACATGTGTCAACTAAGTCAGCGAGTCTGACCACCCGATCCCGTTAGTCGCTTCTTACGACAAACATGGGTTACTGAAGATCAGTTTTAACCAGGATCTTCACGGGTACTTACAGCGGTAGTGTAATCAGAGGTACCCTGTTCAAATCATAAGAAACGCCAAAAACAGAACAAAGCAGTTAATCCTCACCAAATAGGTATCTAACACACCAACATTCGTGAACGCATGACTAATGGCTATGGGAAGGATGTCCGTCAGTGTTCCACCGTGGCAAAATGGTTTGCTGAGTCTTAGCGTGGACGTGGGTCGCTGGAAGATGACCTGCGGTCAGTGTATTGGAATCAATTATTCAGAGACATTAAGTTAACTCTAATTGTGGACGTTATGAGCGGAAGTTGAGGTTTGAAATGAAGTGATAATTCTGAAGGTTTGTTTTGCAGAGAAAGGCAGGTTAAAGTCTATTCGTTTCAATCACTTTAATCTTGGACTCGCGAGTGTTATGCTTCAGTTTCAACGCAGTTACATCTATTTCTCAAGAATGTTTCATCAAGTCGCAACTGACTTTCATCTGTGTGTTGGAACCGTGTTGTAACAGTTGAGTTCTGGATTAAACAATTGAGACTTCGAGTTGATGTTACATAATTACGAAGAGGCTTAGCCATACACCCACTTCGCAAAACAATACAGTCAGGTAGACCTGCAGATGTCATCACAAATGATATATTCGCAAGATGTTAATCATGTGTGATCAACAAATAAAGGTGGACGAAACAGTTTCTGAATGTGGCAATTCACATGTTAATGTCTCCAATACAACCATAAATGTTTCCACATGTGTAAAGTTTCTGCTAGGGATCGGTCCCTCGAAACCTTAATGCACTGGATCCTCACCAACGAGTGAGACCCCTTGGACAACAGCATGGTGGCAAATCCTCACATCTTTTTCCATTGGGAATCGAGTGATTAGTTTTACCGATTTTGCAAACCTTAACTCTCCCTGCTTGGGACCAAAGTTTGGTTTAGGGACCAGGCATAAGATATATTTTAGGCCATAGGCAGCTTGCAGTCCAAATAGATTGCAGTACAAAGTGCAGGGCGATTGTGTTAAAATATATATTAAAAACGTTCCCTACCCTTTCTCTGTATATTGAGTTCTTTGAACGTTTTGATCGTCACTCGAATGATTAATGTGAGTGAATTAGTTCTCAGGTTGCTTTGACCAGTATTTCCGTCATATCAGGACGTTCAAGTTGTCTGGAGAGTCGTTTACCGCTTTGCTGAAAGACACGAGCAAGTGCATGTAGTCGTGACAAACCGTATGTTTGTAGTTTTTATGTCCTGGTATGACCAGAAAGTACTCTTACCTTTCACATTCATGAAATAGGTCATCTTGAGTTTTCTTCATCTACATTATTCTAAGATATCGCATAATGACAAGATGTACGTACTAAATTACTTTAAAATTTGCAACCGAGTGATCTAAATGTTTACAAGGTTATTAAAAGGTTACACAATACGGATGGCCTCATCAGAACAAATCCGTGAAGCTCCGGGTTAGAACTGATCTTCAGTACCCCATGCTTGTCGTAAGAGGCGACTAACGGGATTGGGTGGTCAGGCGCGCTGACTTTGTTGACACATGTCATCGGTTCCCAATTGCGCAGATCGATGCTCATGCTGTTGATCCCTGGATTGTCCAGACTCGATTATTCACAGACTGCCGCCATATAGCTTGAATATTGCTGAGTGCGGCGTAAAACTAAACTCACTCACTCACTCATCAGAACAAGCGGGACTCACTCATCAGAACAATCGGGACTCCTGCGACGATCAATGGAATCTGGAACGTCAACTTTGTACATTGTCCCTAATGCAATAGCGATATGTATATAACTTTTTTTAAAAAGTATTTTTGGGTGACAATATATTTGTAAGTGTGTTTCCAGATCACAATGTTTAAGGAGACGAATCGTAACCATCCCATGCTATGGAAATAGTAAAGTTTTGGCGAATAATTATAATTCTCAGCAAGAAGATCTGCGGTGGGGAAGCCTACTGGTTAAAGTGTTCATTGGTACGCCGAAGACCCAGGTTCGATTCCCCACATGAATCCCAATGAGTGAAGTCCATTTATGGTGTGAATCGCTGTGATATTACTGAAATATTACTGAAGGAATATTACTAATAATATAAGTACTGACTTAATAAGAATATCCAGATTCGTTCTCTGTTGGTGATATTGCTTTGAGTAGTGTATGTAGGGTGAGGTGAGGTGAAATTGGGTTTTACGTCGTGCTTGAGAATACTTCGCTCATATGACGACGTGCATGCGTGTATGTGTATGTGCGGCTGCTTGTACTAGCCCAGACTTAAGCTGGTTTTATAGTGCTAGCCCACTGAGATACCATGCCACAGTGAAGCATGAATACCCCACTCAGACACATTACACTGACTCCGAGCCGACCAGTCCTTGTTGTACCCATTAATGCCGAGCGCCAGGCAGGGACCAACAAGTACCATATTTTAACGTCTTTTGGTTTGACGCGGTCGGGGATCGAACACGCGACCTTCCGCTCTCCGGGCGGACGCTCTAACCACTACACCACGGAGGCGGTAATGTATGAAGGCGGTTCCAAGACAGGTCCACTGTTATTTATGGCTAATTCAGCTCCCAGCGACCCCTAAAAATCATTATCCACGAGCGGAGGCATCGTTTGATGTCCTTTTCAATATCCACATATAGCAGCCTAAATCTCTAGGGAACCGGCGCAGTTTCGGCAGCCAACATAAAAAGAAGACCAAGCGGGTATAGCTTCTCTCTAGTTCAAAAACATACAAACATACACTCAAACGAAAGTACACCTATTTTCTACTCCATGTAGGAGTGCCCGGGGTTCGTAATGCAATCTGGTTTGGGCGTTTCTGTCTTCTCGTCGTCCTGTCTGTCGACCGGTGTGTTGGCCGGTGTGTTGGCCGGTGTGTCGACCGGTGTGTTGGCCGGTGTGTTGGCCGGTGTGTTGGCCGGTGTGTCGACCGGTGGTGTGTGGCCGGTGTGTGTGTCGACCGGTGTGTTGGCCGGTGTGTTGGCCGGTGTTGGCCAGTGTGTCGACCGGTGTGGCCGGTGTGTCCGGTGTGTTGGCCGGTGTGTCGACCGGTGTGTTGGCCGGTGTGTTGGCCAGTGTGTTGGCCGGTGTGCAGTGCTCCCAGGTCGTGTGCACGACCTTCTACACAATCACGGCTGCTAGCGAAAGGTAGGTCCACTTTTGGGCCGATTCTAGCATCTGCCCCACCTTCTGAATATCCAGACGAGTCTCCTCTTGTTCCTCCTCTACGCTTTCTATTTTCTCGCGGAGTTCGTCTCTTTGGACTTTGTTGCCACGTTTTGACATATTGAAATGCCAAAGCAGTAATCTGAACCAGGTGCAATGTTCATCACATTTGTCATGGCTCCCAGCCACTAAGGACTCCAAAATTCGCCGTACCGAAAATCCATGAACTCTAGATTCATCCGGGCTATGTTTCCAGTTTTGCAAGAAGTCTATTCGTGCTCATGATTGTCACCAAAGCAGTAAACGTCAAAGACACGTGTCATTTCAAATGGAAGTTTGATACAGTTCAAAGCGACATTATGACAGACGTAATCACAGACTCTGTACTTAACAAGTCATGGCCAATTTTCAAGGACGTCTTTGCCGCACCGAGATACAAATTCCGTTGTGTTCATGATTGTTTTAACATAATATTAATGGAATGTTGCCTTTTTAACTTGATATATTCTGTGACGAAGAAGCTGACACCGTGGTGTAGTGGTAAGAGCGTCCGCCCGGAGAGGGGAAGGACTCGGGTTTGATTCCCGGCCGCGTCATACCAAAAGACGTTAAAATATGGTACTTGTTGGTCCCTGCCTGGCGCTCGGCTTTTAATAGGTACAACAAGGACTGGTCGGCTCGGAGTCAATGTAATGTGTCTGAATGTGGTATTCATGCTTAACGGCGGCATGGTATCTCAGTGAGCTGGCACTATAAAACCAGCTTAAGTCTGAGCTTGTACATGTAGCCACATATACACATATGAGCGCAATATTCATCATATGAGCAAAATATTCTTAAGTACGACGTTAAACCCCATTTCACCTCACCTGTTCTATAATGCATATACGACTCGCATACAGTCTAACCCGTGAAGATCCGGGGTAGAATAGGTCTTCAGCAACCCATGCTTGTCACAGAAGGCAACTATGCTTGTCGTAAGAGGCGACTAACGGGATCGGGTGGTCAGGCTCGCTGACTTGGTTGACACATGTCATCGGTTGCCAATTGCGCAGATCGATGTTCATGATGTTGATCACTGGATTGTCTGGTCCAGACTCGATTATTTACAGACCGCCGCTATATTGCTGGAATATTGCTGAGTGTGGCGTAAAACTAAACTCACTCACGCACTCACGCATACAGTCTATAACCGCCATATAGCAGGAATATTGCTGAGTGCGGCGTTACACAACCAACCAACCAACCAACCCATTCTACAATCCTCTTATCTTGTAATAAAGCAGTCGACAGGCCAGTTACTATATGCGTGTTCAAACTATATTGTCAGTTCTCCTGTGTTATTTGGCAGTGTTATTATTTATATAACAAAGTTCCAAGTGTATAACATTTCTGAGCATAGATCAATTTAATATTGTGAATGTTATGTACACAATAGATAGCCTTTAGCGGATAATGAAAGAATGCTCGGTTTTCAACATAATTGGTTGTAATTCTGAAGCAAAAGTGTGACCCGGACAAAGTATGACATGACTTGATGTTAACCGATTTAGTGGTGAGCTCATTAGTAGCCTTTGATGTATTGCAGTCATTCAATCAGGAGTCGTATGTTAGAGGTATCAAACGCTGATTTGATACCTGTAAATCTACTGATGGAAATAAAAAGGGAACACCACTTCACGGCAGTGTTCCTTTATTTATTCTTCTGAGATTTCCTCCCACAGCGTTATTCAAAGCTGGTGATGAAAAGTGGAAAATATTAAAGGGACGCTTGAATTTTCCTTTGTTCCTATATTTGTTTCTCTCAGTATATCATTCGATGTGTGTGGGTTCGTACTGACATACTTTCGCAAGCACAGGACTTCCTTCATGTGTCATGTAAACCGACCACTAAAATGAAAACATGCCATACAAAAATGTATTAAGTGTTTTATTTATGTTGTGAAATATATGCCACTGTGACATGAGATACATAAAATACAAAGTCGGTATAGGCAGATACGTTTATCGTCACACATTTTTAGACATTGTACAGGATTCTCGAACGTCTCTGATTGCAAGCGTTTTCGAAATCAAAGGTTTCAAATTGTTAAAATCAAAACATTGGCACGCATCTATTACCGACATTGGATCATTTGATATATCAAAAATGTGATGATGACAGATATGATGTCGTCGTCGTCTTCGGCGGCGGCTGCTGCGACTGTGGCTGCGGCTTCTACATCATTGACATCATCGCGGGAACGTACAATGACCTCATCCCCTGCGATCCTCTAAAACGATCGGCAAACATCATATCGATGGGGTTAAGATCCGCATTCTTCGCTATCACCATTCGCTGGATCGGCGAGACTTGTGTAGAAGGATCCATCAGCATATCCAAAGCGGCCACCTCAAAGTACTTGTCTCCCATCAGCATCAGATAAGGATTATTTAAAAAACTTTTGTGTGGCCTCGCAAGACCAGCTACTCCCTTGGAGGGTAAACGAGGAGCTCCTGCTGAAAGATGTCAATTGAAGTCCAATTATGAAGGACGTTTGAAACGTATTTCGAAAATATTTAAATGAGAAAATAGAAAATTCTAATGTGTTTTTAGTAAATATTCTAAATAGGTTGTTTTCAATATGGTGAGTGAGTAATAGTATTACCTTACACGTATTTATACATTCATCATCAGAAACGCATTTTAATACATAAATGATTTCACAAGTACTCTTGGTGTTACTTTACATGTATCTCTGCACGCAGCATCTAAACGCATTTTCTATATTCATGACTTTACATGACCTTTTGATGTAACTTTAAACGTATCTCAACAAAATATCTGCAAGAATATAGATCTGAACGTATCCCAGCTCGTATCCTTCCCAACACACATATATTCCCGGAAAACAATACGGTTTGTTTATAAAATATAAAAACAATTGTGTTAATTTTACTGGAAAACAAAGTCATTAATTGTGTGCAAAACCTTTTATCATCCAGTGTGTTTGCATAAACTATTTAACTATTCAGTGTTGGCAGCCAATCATTCTGGAGGACCTTCTTCAATTTTCATACTCAAAGCGGCTAACTCCTCCATACCTATACCTGTTTAACATTTATCGCTTACCTGCAGGAGGTCCTGGCAAAAACGGTGGTCGTATTGGCGTATCTATGGAATGACAGGAAATTAATTCAGTTTGATAAAGTTACTTCATTGTAATGCTATATCTTTATAAAACAATATGCTAAATCTAAGTATCGGTTCCAAATAAAGAATATTGTCATACATAAGGAGTAAGTGAGTATGGTTTTACGCCGCTTTTAGCAATATTCCAGCAATATCACGGCGGGGGACACCAGAAGTGGGCTCCACACATTGTACCCATGTGAGGAATCAAACCCGAGGCTTCAACTTGAGCGAACGCTTTAGCTATTAGGCTACCCCACCGACCTTATCATACATAAAGGTGAGGTGAGGTGAGGTGAGAGGAAATTGGGTTTTACGTCGTACTTGAGAATATTTCGCTCATATGACGACGTGCATGCGCGTGTATGTGTATGTGCGGCTGCTTGTACTAGCCCAGACTGAAGCTGGTTTTATAGTGCTAGCCCACTGAGATACCATGCCACAGTGAAGCATGAATACCCCACTCAGACACATTATACTGACTCCGAGCCGACCAGTCCTTGTTGTACCCATTAATGCCGAGCGCCAGACAGGAACCAACAAGTACCATATTTTAACGTCTTTTGGTATGACGCGGTCGGGAATCGAACCCGCGACCTTCCGCTCTCCGGGCGGACGCTCTAACCACTACACCACGGAGGCGGTATCATACATAGAACCGGGGTGGTTGGGTGTTTAGGTATCCCCGTTCTTGTATATAACACGCATTGCAGTGTTCCGGGAACTGATCCCGGGCTTTTGACTGAAAAGACGAACGCTTAAACCCCCTCCCTAACACACCACTTTCCTAATGTTTGCAATTTTTAACATGTAAACAGTGTCGTGGTTATTAAAAACTTCAAGTTCAATTAAAAGTGAGAGTGAGTGAGTTTTAGCAATATTCCAGTAATATCACGGTAGGTAACACCAGAAATCAGCTCCACACATTGTACCCATGTGGAGAATCGAACTCAGGCCTCCCGCATGAAGCGCAAACGCTTTAACCACTGGGCTACACCTATTCCATGTAAAGGCTGCACGCCATATCTCATATCTATGAGGCTATCAGCAAGCATTTATTTCGAAGGAATTTAACCCAAGAGAACACACGCAATAGACATTTGGTGAAACCTACGATCAAGGCTTCTGGTTTTAAAAAGACAAGGATCATAATCAAACGAATCTGGGATTCGAACCCATGATGGAAAAGCAGACCAGAAATATTATGGAACAACAAAGTAAATACTCACTCTGTGCAAACGCAACATAGGCTGTGGAGCAAAGGACTGCCAAGAAAATGAGGCTATTCATTGTGATGTTTCTTTCTGAAAGTTGATCAATATATATTCACATTTGCTTTACAATTGTTATACACCGTCACCATACTACAATTATTATAGAAGCTGGTGCTAACACAACGGGATACATTTGTAAATAGTATTCCATTAAGCCCACAATGATAATCCAGTGTACAATGATCGTAGTTATAAATTCACTTGATAAACCGAATCTGACGCATTATAAAAAAAACTCTCATAACTAAAACTATTAAAACTATGTGTTATCCCCAGGAAGCTGAGAATGAAATTCCAATACACTGTAACATTCGCTTCTCTAATGGAATCTGATGGGCTATAAATGTTCTTCCTGTTAAGATAGATTTGATAAAACTAAATATTCTACTCAGGAAGAATGAAATTCGGTAATAACATTCACTTGGTTAATGGTATGGTTTTTGTCCCCTTTTAGCAATATCCCGGCAATATTGCCCGCTATAAATGCACCTATTATAAAGATACATATAAAAAGACTGGGTACAACATATTCTTAGGGTATATACACCTTAATACAACAAGAAAACAATCCAATAAACAAGGGCTAATTTACCTGCAAGGTATATGAGCCTCAATATTCCTCTGCTTGTCTGTTCTGGAGCACAAGTTGTACTGACACTAGTTAATAAATGCCATAAATCCAATGTATGTGTCTTAGGCCCTTCAGATGAGTCAAACGCTAACCCATAAAAAGTTTCATTGCTTGGCACACCCTTGTTACAATTGGTGCATGTCTTCCGAATGCGCAGAGTCCAACGTCAAAGGGCAGCGTACAGAGTTGACGCGTCCTCCATTGTGACGTTATACCCGTGGCATTTGACATTTTATAGCAAGATGCATGTCATAGTAAGGGAACTAACACAAGTTTCCGCGACTCCGAGTTCCAGATGAGCTGTTTAAAACAGGATCATTGATTGGTTTCCGCACTATTAACTTTCGTGAGAGTGTTTCTATTGCAACATGGCGCTGAAACACATATGTGTCGTTTTTTCATGACTACGACATATATCAACTCCAGGATGCTCAACGGCGTGTTAGTTGAAGCTGACAGAGGGTGACAATGAATAATGTTTAAGTAAAAAGGGTCAACAGAAAAGGTTATTCGTTCACATTTGAAAACTTACATCACTGATGAACATTATTTCAGCCTTTTGTAGAACTCCTATGTATATATTTTAGTGCTATCGTTTGAGCGAGATTCCTTTTTTAATGAAAACAATATATTTGGGAGGACAGTAGAAGATATATTTTATCACAACTTTGAACAATTGTATCTGTGAAAGTACTAGCTTAGCAATAATGTATGTTTTCATAAACATAGTTCTTCTATCGGATGACTGACCTGTCCAGCAAACAATCTATTTTACTGCCGATATTTCTTTTCAAGCTGCTCTTAAGAGCAATTTGTTTTAAAAGTGAACTCCCAGCCAAAATCAGAATAGGGCATTGGGCACCATTGGTTAACTTTAAGCAACGTTGGCAGCATATAGTACACTAACAGGCATCTGAGCTCGTCATCTCATTCCCTGGGATCCTCCCCAAAGTTGAAACCAAGGTTATTTTGTACTTACGTCTGCATACGACCACTGATGAAATCAAACCAATGGATATCAGTAGCTACTTCATTGATAGCATACATATGTGTGTAATGTATGTGGGACGATTCATGATCAACCTCCTCAGATGCAAGCCTTTGTAAAAATATAACACATTTATATACTGTAAAACTATTAATGGTTCCTTGCCAGTTAACAACATAAAGCTGGGTATTGTGAGTCAGGATGTTGTAAGCGATACCTGCGACTATGTCGCTATGTTTAACGCCATGGCTTGGTTCACTAGAGTACTGTTGGAAATAGAAAAAAACTGTTTTTAGGCTGTTACTCTGTATCCCTAAAATGTACACAATTGCAAATGTCGAAATAACCCACATTGGCCTATCTGAGGTTCAGTGGGATGCATGTTTACCCGTAAAATCGGGCAAAACTTAGGAAAAATACGAATAGCTGCTGAAAACAGTAGATCAGACTATAGATGGCATTTAGGTCGCCTAGCCAGGTATGACGACGGACCGTCGACTCACCTGGCATGAAATGCACGTGCTGCCTACAGGCACAAGGGGTCATCTCAAAGATATTTTGTGCTTTTTCAGGTGTGTTGACTATGTCTCATCTATTGATTAACATCTTACGTGTCTTTATTTCATAAAGTGTATGTTGAGATATGTAAAAGAGTATGATACCCGAAAACCATAGAAACGCATCGTAGTATATAGGTGGCATTACCACCCGAAGATCGACAGGACTGGATATTATTTGTAAATTGTTATGACGTGCCGTGTACCTCCCGAGTATAGGTAGGTAGGTATATAAGGTTTTAGGACGACCTTGGGCCTTAAAAGGCCTATATGCGCCCCACACTTAACAATCTGTTATATTTTTGTTCAGTTAAATTACATCGTACTTACCCGTTTTAACGAGGAAGTCTAAAACAGCTTCCCCAGTATAATTGCCCTAAAGGATTATCTTATCTTAGCTGATATCTCTATCCCGAAGCTCGACCCCAGGTTTTGCTTTTGAGATGACCCCTCCTATCTGTTTCTTTTTATAGTGACAGTGGGACTACATGGTAGCTACATCCTTAATAGTTTCAGCATAAAAGTTATTATTTTTTACGTCAGCTATCGTTTATAATGAATCTACGTCTAATTTCAAATTTGGCATTTAAAAAGTGTCCTTTGTAATACAATTTCGTCGCACACTAATTTGCATACAGCCATGCTCTGTTCCAAATATGTCTTTTTGGACTTAGAAAAAAAACGCATTGCTCATTTCTGCACTAACTTCCCCTCATAATAAAGTCCTTTTTCTCCGTTTCCTATCTCTCTACCACTGAGAATGTAGTTAGGCCGAACTTAGTTTAACAGATATTTCACACTTTCACATATCAACTACATAAATTGTAGAGATAAATGAGAAAATACAGTTTTTTTCTATTTCCGACAGTACTTTAGTCGTTTGTTTGTGTGTGTGTCAAGTGTTTATCGAGTACCGTTTAACGATGCACTCAGCAATATTCCAGCGTGCTGTAAATAATCAAATTTGGACAAAACATGAGGAATAAACCATTTCATGACAATGAGATGATCATCAACCCCGTCAATCACCTCCAGTTCCTAAACACCATCCATTAAGACCCGTGATATCCCGATCCACTTCGGATTCAAAATTCCTATGTCATCGTCTCCAAAACATCATCCAAATCGTTATGTTACTCGAGTTGATGGGTGGAACATACAGTTGTCCTGAAGCTAATGCTTTGTCCCAGCACATTCCCTTCTAAGTATGTCCTTGCGGTTGTAGCGAACATATACTGAACAGCAAAAGAAACGCAAGTCTGGCTTTTTGTTATGTTTTTGAATAGAAGACAACCAAAATTATGTCTAATCATTTATTCTATAGAAAACACTGTCAATGTAACAGCTAAAAGTTGCTGTTGACATTGAATTGCAATAAGTTCAAATTGATCATAGTCCGTCAAATGGAGATACCCCTGAATGCGAAAAGTGACAGTCTCTTTAGTAGCGCGTATAGCCACCTTGAGCTTGCACACAGGCCGTGCAACGTGGGATCGTTGAGTTCACTAGAGTCTGAAAGAATGCCTGAGTCAATTGGTTTCCTCTCAAATGCCAATTTCTATTCCAATTATTGCCAGTGTGAGTGGATGTCTACCTGCAGCAATCTTCCGTCCAATTTCGTCCCAGAATGTTCAATGGGAGCCATATCCGGGAAAAGGGACATACATGGAAAAACGTTAATGTTGTTCTTTCATGCCAGATAATCCATCGACACCCTTGCTGTGTGTGAGGGGCTGCAAGCGTCGCTGGCGTTGTTGACGTGCCAAAAATTGGCCCCACATATGGCCTTCGGTAGTGGATTCTAGCAGCCGAAGACGACGCCCTAATCGTATCGCTTGGCACTGCTCCCTGGACCCAGAACTAAGGCTGATGTTACTGTTGCTGCTTGAGTTCGGTTCCTTAGATGAGTGACCCGGATGAACCGATCTTGCGCATGAGTTCTCACTCGTTGCCGTCCGGTACGGGGACGATCAGAAGCAACCACAATTTGCTGATGACGTTGAGCAATTTGTGTAATGGTGGTAAGATGACAGCCCAATTGTCTAGCTACAGCGGTTGCAGAGCTACCTCCGTGCAACTTTCCAATGGGCATTCTCCTCTGCTCAGTCGTTAGTCTAGGCATCGTTTGTGTGGCGCGTCCACCACTTAGCGTCAATACTGGACTGTTTTTTGACACAAGCCTTTATAAAGGATACCTCAGAGTGAAATGCATGCTTCTCATCCAGAACCGTCGATGCACGTACTGAAATTATGGTTTTGCTGCGCTGTTGGTATGTTTGTGCGAATGGTTCGTATGGACGTCAAACTGAATGACTTCATCTCATCGGGGATCATTACGTCACTTTACCATGAACGTTCAATAAACATGAACGTTTACCTTCATAAAATTTCATTTTTTCGAAACTTGCGTTTCTTTTGCTGTTCAGTATAGGATAGCTCGAAGTACTTATGTTGGTCCCTTCAACGTCGACACAACGATGCTTAACTTAGCTGTACTATCATATCCTCATATTTACTGGACAAAATAAGTTAGGGATGTTGGTATTTTTATGATTTCTATTTTATCAGTGTGTCAATGAATAAATAGATCATTATTCATACTTTCAAAATTTACATATATATCCCTAACTATTTTTGTCCAGTATATTTCCTACCTTATCTTCACATAACGTCACTCCTACCATTATCATAACGTTGTTCCTATCATTACCATAACGTCACTCCTACCATTATCATAACGTCACTCCTACCATTATTTTAACGTCCTTATCATAACGACGTTCTATCTTATCATAACGTCATTATCATAACGTCATTATCTCCACTCCACCATTATCATAACGTTGTTCCTATCATTACCATAACGTCACTCCTCACCATTATCATAACGTTGTTCCTATCATTACCATAACATCACTCCTACCATTATCATAACGTTGTTCCTATCATTACCATAACGTCACTCCTACCATTATCATAACGTTGTTCCTATCATTACCATAACGTCACTCCTACCATTATCATAACGTTGTTCTATCATTACCATAACGTCACTCCTACCATTATCATAACGTTGTTCCTCATTACCATAACGTCATCCACCATTATTAACGTCATCATTATCATAACGTCACTCCTACCATTATCATAACGTTGTTCCTATCATTACCATAACGTCACTCCTACCATTATCATAACGTTGTTCCTATCATTACCATAACGTCACTCCTACCATTATCATAACGTTGTTCTCATTACCATAACGTCACTCCTACCATTATCATAACGTTGTTCCTATCATTACCATAACATCACTCCTACCATTATCATAACGTTGTTCCTATCATTATCATAACGTCACTCCTACCATTATCATAACGTTGTTCCTATCATTACCATAACGTCACTCCTACCATTATCATAACGTTGTTCCTATCATTATCATAACGTCACTCCTACCATTATCATAACGTTGTTCCTATCATTACCATAACGTCACTCCTACCATTATCATAACGACAATTCGACCATTACCATAACATCACTACTAACATTATCATAACGTTGTTCCTATC